AGTACAACCACTCTTTTTACGTTTGTTTTACGACCAATATATTTAGTCGTAATAGTTAAGTCCACATTACGACCAAAAGTTTATTACGACGGGCTGTTTACTACCAAACTGTTTTCGTTGTTGTGTGGTCGTAAAACTCGATTTACTACCAAATTACCTCTATATCTGTGGTCGTTATGCCCGCGTTTTCTTGTAGTGATATATATATATATATATATATATATATATATATATATATATATATATCTTATATACTATGCCAACTTTCCATTGATATATAATGACACTTTTATTTGTTACTTTTAAAATAATATTTACGTACACACACACCTCGTATACAGATACACAAGTGAAGCGTTTTAATGCACTGAAGAAGGTATGGGGATCTTCTCAAATTCTTCCACTTGAGTTTTTCAGTGATCCAAAAAATGGATATATATTTGAGGAAGATCAATGCGAATTTGGAGTTGATGTGACGATTGATTCAACCCTTGCCAACTGGGAAATCGTCTCTTTTAATGAGAATTTATGTTATTCCAAATTCTTCTTTAATGTCAAGAATATCACGATACTTGGAGAACATGTTTGTTACATGTCTAATACATTTTCAGTGGGAGGAAAGACATGGTGAGCTCATAAATATATATATATATATATATATATCTATGTGTGTGTGTATGATATAACATGTGCTCAATATTCTTCTCTAGGGTACTGAAGTTTCATCGCAAGTGGTTCTCTACGTTGGACGACAAATGGATCTCCATTTTTCTGCATCTGGCCGACAATGAGAGCTTATTACGGGATGAGAGGATTTACACGCGTGGTCATTTCCGAGTTCTAGACCCATGTGGATCTAATCACACCACAGAGAAATGTATGTCAACCTTGTTATTATTATATAGCTTTCTTAATCAGATAAAACTATCTATAGACTTAGATATTCATTTTGCTTGTCTGACTTATATAATATGCGTGCTTATGGATGTTCTTTTCCTTTTGTTGCAGTTATCGGCTGGCATGATCAATCAAACTCAGGTTGTGGTCACGACAAAGTGGTGTCAATGGATAAGCTCCGAGATGTTTACTTGGACGAAAAAGAGACTTTGAGCGTAGGGATAGAATTTGAAGTTATCTCTGCGACCAATTACTCTCCCATTATCTAAGCTCTCCCACAGCTTCCCCCTTTCCCCCAAACGCTTTTTTTTTATTACTCTTTCTGCCTCATTCATTAATTTGCCAAAAAAAGGAGACACATTTACGCTGGTTTTTCATTTTGCAATGGAATTTCTAACTTTTTCCATGACTTCGAAATTTTTTTTTTTTGGTAAAATATGACTTCGAAATTTCTTTTTGATTCAGTATATTTTGCTTAATTTTCAAGCTATTGATCGAATGATTTTAGAATTAGAACATAGCTCTTTGTAAGGATACTAACCAAATATATAGTATGATTTTAAAAGAAAAATTTGCTAAAGAAAAAAGATTTGCTAGAAAGGGACGAGAAATAAACATCTCCGTCCTGTTATACCTTCCCGACAAAGCTTTGTTCCTAATATTATTCAGATTAGTGATAATTTTGGTTTACCCTAATAAACCAAAAACTAGAACACAACAAAACAATCTGACATTAAAGTGAAATCCAAAATGAACACTCCTGAGTGCATTTTCTCCCGAGGTGACCAAAAAAAAAATTGCATTTCCTCCTGCACCCACTTAACAATTTCGAATCTTCTTGGGGAACTTCTCTTCAAGTGAGGACTGGCCTTCGGGCCAAACGGGCCATGTATAGACTTGTGACGTTTATTTCGGCCTTTCTCTTGTAGAAGATAGTGGAATGATGACGGGTGTACTCAATTTTGAATTTTGATGTTTTTGTATTAAAATAACGATTTCTTTATTAGTCAAACATAATTTTAAGAACTTAGTTTTTTTAAATTTACTGATACTGAAAATAGTTAAACAATAATTTTAATATATTTTGTGATTTAACGTCTTTGATGAAGTTTTGATTTAAAAAAATGAAGTCTCAAAAAATTAGATAAAATTCTACGTTATATTTATAAAATCATAGCAATTCATAACTCAGGAAAATAATCCAGAAACTCATAAACGTACAAATCCTTCCAAATCATTTTAGATTGTAGATACTTTTATTTTTAATAAGTGTCAATGAATTAAAATTAGCATACATATATAAACGAATATTATAGAAAGAAATAATTTATTACTCCCTCCGTTTCGAAGTAATTGTCATTCTGGAGAAAAAAAAATTATTTTGAAATAAATGTCATTTTAAAGTTTCGAGATAAAATTTATTACTATTATATAATATTATATTTTTCGATTGGTTGAAAAGTGGTTATGTGTATAGGTAATTGTGTTTTTTTCTTGAGAATATGTAAAATTAAATGTTTCCTTAATATGTGTGCAAAAACGTTGAATGACAATTAAAATGAAACTGAAGAAGTAATTGACCAAACGTCAAACTAATGTTTTTAAGCCTGGCAATTAATTTGGAGTCTGATTACTACTCTCTTTGTTTCATTTTAATTGTCATTCTACATTTTTGCACACAGATTAAGGAACATTTAATTTTACATATTTTCAAAAAAAAAACAATTATCTATATACATAACAACTTTTCAACCAATAGAAAAATAGAATATCATATAAAACTAATAAATTTTGTCTCGAAACTTGAAAACGACACTTATTTTGAGACGAATTTTTTTCTCCAGGATGACAATTAATTCGAAACAGAGGGAATATAAATTATGATACATGCCGATTCATGTCATCTGTAAAATCGTTTACTTTACTGTTGTTTTGCAGATCATAAGATGTCTATCTCCAATGCAAACAAAAATTATACTCTCTCTATTTCAAATTATATGTCATTTTAGAGTTAATTTTTGTTTCAAAATAAATGTCGTTTTATAATTTTAATGTAAAATTTATTAATTTTAAATGTCATTCTATTTTTTCAATTGATTGAAAAGTGGTTAAGTGCATAGGTAACTGTATTTTTATTTTAAAAATATGTAAAATTAATTATATTATTAATTTGTATGCAAAAGTATAGAATAACAACTAAATTAAAACGGATGGAATAATAGTTAAAGGTCAAATCACAAGAATGCTGGATAGTGCGAAAGTTACTGGGAGCTGATACACATATGCTAGAGAAGCAACAACTCCGTCCCGTCTCAGTACTCGCACATGCTACTCTGCCCCGTATTAACTCTACTTAGCTATTGTGCATAGATCAAAAAAGTTTAGTAAGGAAACTTTACAGGTTCTTTTTTGCGACTCAAACTTTACACTAGTTTCAATATTGGTTTATATAGACAAGAAAACAAAGAAAGGGCAAACAATTTAATAATTGACGTGCCAATATTGGCTTTCACGTGGCCATCCTAGCTAGCGTTAATTCCCACCATCGTTTGTGTTTTCATTATCTCTCTCGTTTCTACTCTAAAAGTTAAAGAAAAAAAAAAGAAAAATAACTAAAATAAAAGTCGCTTCGCTGTGAAAATAAAAGAGAGATCCGAATCCAATCTCATCTGTAATCTTTCTGATTCACTCTCAGACAATGCTCTGCTATGTCGGAAAAGCCACCAAGATTTTTATTTTCATCGTCACCGTTGCTGTCGTCATTGGTCTTGTCGTAGGCTTGGGTGTCCTCCGTCGTAACTCACACCACTGCTCCGGCGACTATTGCTCATCTCCCGCCGATTCTTCTTCTTCCTCCTCTTCCTCTGCTTCCCCTTTCATAACTCCCTTTCCTAACCCGAACCCGAATCCAAACCCGCCTGTCCTCGGATCTTCCCCCCCTGCCCCACCCGGCTCATCACCACCAAACCCATTTGTTCCAGTCACCCCAACTCCACCGGCGCCGATCGTAAATCCGAATTCACCTCCTCCGCCGGATTCAGATACAACCACCGCACCTCCTCCACCTGCACCGCAGTCATCATCAATCGCGCCGCCGCCACCACCAGCGGAAGAATCTGCATCGCCGCCGTTAAGTCCGCCGAGCTCCGTAGTCAACACTCCCGCTCCAGTGCATGCGAAGCTGGTCAACGACTAAAGTTAGATCGACCACACGTTTGTAAATTCGGACATCTCTTTATCACTTTTCAGTTCTTGAACTTGATTCGTTTGTTTGTTTGTTTGTTTTTTCCTAATTAGATCAAATGTTCTAAGCTTTTAAATCAAGGCGAAAGTTTAGTCTCATTTACTTAAATCATATAGGAAGAGAGATTAGGTTGAATGCTTAAACACTTCATTTTCATATTAATTCTAATGATCTCATTTGAGAGTGAGTTGTCAAAACATCTTTTATCATAGGATTTTATGACAACAAATAAAATTTAATTTTGTTTTAGGTTCAGTAGTTGTATTGGTTTGTGTTAGTTAACTTATAAGTTAACTAAAGCCTTGGGTATCATCATTGGGTCAAATCTTCTTTTTCTTTTGCTGGTGATTGATATATAGTTATATTGTTGACATTACTTTATTTTCATTGAAATAATTCAAAGGTGGGTCGATGGGTTAAGAATCCCATGTAATTTGTCTGACTAATATTTGACCACTTCATCTTTACAACTTCGAAATATTTCAGTATGCTATTGTATTCTTCGCTCCTACTTTATATTTTCTTTTGTCTCCATAGTCAATAACTCCATATACACGCATGATTTTAGAATTTTTAATATCTATTTCAATAAACATTAATATTAATACTTGATTTACTATACATAATTTACATTTTTTAATTTTACTAAATAAAACAAATTCAATGATATAAAATTAAATAACAGAGACATTAAAGAGAAATTGCTCGTTGACAGCAAAAAAAAGAAGAAGAGAAATTTCTCTGACGGCTAATGTTTAAACATGTCAGAGTTCAGATAATCCGTGAGGACTCTTCGATGTGGCTCCTTGGTCTTGCCGTCTTCGACCGAGCCATGGAGAGCCTCTCTCCGGAGCGAATGTGATTAAGTCACGATCTCAATCTACGTTCGTAACCATAACCACGGCGAACTTATTTGTCTGTGGTGTCAAAGCCACAACACTTGTTGTCACTTCGCTCCTTGCAGTCGAGCTCAAGCAACAATGGTCAAATCTCTCATATTTGTGTTCTCATATTTGCATGTTTAGTCCTATAGTTTTTAGGTTACACTTGATTTGGTCGTAGACTGCTATATATAGTGAGCCACTGGGGCAAGCGGTTTGCCTCATCCAGTGAATTTGATGTCAAACTCCTTGGAAGTCTTGTTTGTTTGCCTTAGAAGACAGTGGTCATGTTTGTACCATTGGGAGCTAGCGGTTAGTCTAGGTTATTGTGCTTGACCGCCAAATTCCCGTGATTTCTCTTTTTTTTTTTTTATTTCCTCTTTTAATTTTTTCTTAAAATCCTCTTACAGTAGCTTCAAAACTTCAAAATATTCTAAAAATGGTAAGAAAAATTAATGCATATACAGTATAACCTCTATAAATTAATACTCGATAAATTAATAATCTCTATAACTTAATAAATTTCACCGGTCCTAACTTGGGCCGGTGTAAAATATGACACAAATCGATAAAATAATAAGATAATAATATGTTTAAAACTGCCATGTAAATATATGATCCCATTAAAATCATAAATTAATAATCTAGCTATATATAATTTTATATAAGTACAATCTAACATTATATTATTGGTTTTATATTTACTATTAAAATACTTTTATTTTTTTAAAACATTTCAATATATTTTGATAATATTTAGTTAGGGATTTTATATTTACTATAAAAATACTTTTATTTTTTAAACATTTCAATATATTTTGATAATATTTATATAAATTATATCGAAAACCATGTAACAATTCAATGAAACATAAAAATATACAGAAAATAAGATAATAAAACAATATTAAAGTCAAATTTCTAAAATTTAAATAATGTACATATGCTAAAATAAAATATTTTATTTATTTTATAAATAAAAATGGAAAAAATAAAAAAATTTAAATAAAGAAACTTTCATAAATTAATATCTCTACAAATTAATAAAATTTTAAAGTCCCAATATTATTAATTTATAGAGGTTTTACTGTATATTTAAGTTCCTAAAGATGTCTAAACCTAAAATGAGCTCAAAACGTGGTTATTTTTTTAAAGAAATATATAACACAATATTTTTAGAATATAATTTTTGAGAAAGAATATAGATTTATTTAAACTACTTGTCTAAATAAAATAATAAATTCAAATATTTCAATACAAAACAATATTAAAGTTTATGTAAAGAAAAAACACATTGTTTCAAACTACTTTCTAAAACTTCAAATATTAAGGACGGGTCTTCTCAAGGAGGAAGGGGTAAAATTCATACCTAAAGCTACAACTTTTACCTAAAACTCTAGCTCCTTGTTTATTAAACAAGTGATCTTGATAATGCTTGATATTATGTCTCACACAATTCTCGCAATCCTTTGACGACAAGTAGAAAGAACACTGCACCATTGCATATATATTTTCCGTTGCAAGCCTCGTCTCCCCCGCTGCGTAGTACATCCCTTTTGAATTGCCTTGACGAATGGCTTTAGTTGTTAGATTGTGGATGAGATCGAGCCACTCCGAGTTTGAATAATAATGGGCCATCACTTTCTTTCCATTCGACATACATAAATTGTTGTTGTAGTCGATCTTATCTAAAGAATCAATCGTAGATATCTCGAGAATGCATTGGTCGTACCATATAATTCGTCCTTTGTATCTCGGACATCTTCTGCGAAGCTGTCATATACATTTTACAAATATTAATGCCACAATCAATAACAACATTGCATGCACGGATGTAACCAAATCTAATACATATCTGTGCCCAAATTTATGCATGTAAATATGTGACCGGTTTTGAACTTTAAAACTTATGACATAATATGAATTATATATAGACCCACAAAGTTACTTTAAAAATATTTCTTAAATATCTTTACAAATTGTCTATAGCCCTAAAGATCTCAGGACTGACCATATATGGGACAACTAAATTAATAATAGATGGTGAAGTGATTACCGCGGCAAGGGCAGTAGCATAGCAAGAACGGCATCTAGGCCCACTTGTATCGCCACGGCACTGAAGGATGAAGGATATTAAATCAGGACCTTCACCAACCATTTCCATTTTGGTACCTCTTTCAAAACTCTCACTCGTTACAGGGATTGGCTCGACGATAAATTTTAGGTTTTCCTCATACTCACTTCCCGGCTTGAATTTTCCTTGATCGACAAAGCATTTGTGGTGTAGATATGTATTTGTCATGTTTAATGACCAAACAGTGCGTACAAAGAGAAATTGTATGGCCATCACGGCCAAGATAGGGACCAATAGGAGGCGTTTTGATACAGGCGATAAAATATACATTGCTGAAGGTATTTTTTTGCTCTTCGTTGATACTTGTTTCTCTGTGAAATAAGCGTTAAGACTGTGATGTTTGTGTAGAAGATTCGGATGGATATTGATTAGAAGGTGACGTCTTATATATATATAAAAAGTTTTTGGTTGCCTGATTGATAAAAAGAGAGGAGTGGGGAGCTAAGACTGAGTATTTGCGGCGAAAAATAGGTGTGACTTATTTCTATCTCTTACAATCACACGATTTGTATGGTGCCACTGCTAACCTCGAATGAAGGAATTGTAACATATTTCTATAGTTACGAGGTTACTTATTTTATTTTTTTTCTTTAATCGAATATATGATAAGATACCAACTTTTAGTTTGTCAAGGTCGCATTTGTACGTAAGAAATCAAAATCAAAAGTTTTAGTATATTAAGAAATGATCTCGACCTATACTTGTAAAGCGAGGTTCAGATATACAAAGGCAACCAAAAATTATCATGAAAAAACATTGTCAGAATTTCAAAGAGAGATACCGACTTCCACAAGATCTTATGACAAGAGAAACCATCTTTGAAGTAACCAAAAATCAGAAGTAAAACATTGGAGTCTTTAGAAAAAGTGTTTTATTTTTATTTTTAATTATTATTAGTTTCTTCAGACTAAAAAAAAATATCAACCAATCGCGGACCATTACGTGTTGTGGATGCCCGCAAATAGTGTAAGGATTCACTACAAAAGAATCTTTATTTACAGATTTTAAGGATTGAATCCTTAATTTTTCTGTAAGATCCATTAATTATTTAATTATTTTTCTCTAAAAACATGAATATGATCTTACGACCATAACCGAACCTTCGGATCAAAGTATGTTAATCCAGAATAAGACAATAAAATCTTACGACATGAAATACTAGAGAAAGCCTATTTCTCTTGCATGCAGAGGTTTCATATGGGTATTGGGAGGCATAAAAAAATTCTAACAGTTTTAGGTAATTTTTGCGACAAATTATTTTTAATTGATGGAGATGCGTTTAGAACAAGAAAAATTATCTATTTCCTCAACCTAATTTAAAAAAAATTACGAAGATTGAATGAAAGCTTCAAAACTTAAAGATTAAACACATATCCCAGAATGAAACATAAGAAAAGAAAATTTTGTTTGCTATGCATGCTTAGAGTCGACCGTCTTATTTTATCCATATGGACACAAAATCTTCTTTTGGTTAGCAATTTCTGTTAGTATAGTCTTAATTCAGTATGTTTATATTGATGCGAAAAAAATTCTCACAACAGTAAAACTATGGCTTAAATTTACGGAACTTCTGTGACAAGTAAGAAGGCAACAATACTTTTGCATGTTCAACATTAAGCTCAACTCTGCCGACTAAACCAGAGGATTCAAGGTGGTTTTTTAAATGATTCATGGGCCTAAAAGTGGACTCGATTATTTATATTACATGGATTTTGGGCCTACTTCGGCATTAATTAATTATGATGGTAGGCTTATGAGCTCTCCTGGAAAATTCCTACCAACCTGAAAATGGATTAAACCTTCAGTTTTCATTTCAAGCGGAACTATCCAATAATTTAAACTACGAAAAGTATACTGTATTTGTCATTTCGTATATGTTCTATCGGTTTGACTCATAAAGAATAATCATTCAATCTAAACGAACTATTTTAAGTGGAATAGACTTGGATTGGACGTATAGGCAAATAGACTGAATGATACATATTATTAGACTTGTACAAGGTATTTATACAGTAATACAAGTAGGTTAAACCGTAGAATGAAGTATTTACAACTAGGTCCTTTAGTCTAATATATTTCCTTAACACGCCCCCTCAAGATGGTGGAACCTTGCTGACACCAATCTTGTCACGTAAGACTTGAAACTGCGTTCTTGGAAGTGGTTTTGTGAAGCCATCAGCTAGCTGATCATGAGTGGATACGTGAGCTACGCGTAGAGCTTGAGACTGTATCTGATTGCGGACGAAGTGGTAATCTATTGCAATGTGCTTCATGCGTGAATGGAAGACGGGATTTGCGCATAGGTAAGTGGCACCAATGTTGTCACAGTAGACTGTTGGTGCATGAGGAAGAGTGACCCCAAGTTCTGTGAGGAGTGAGCAGATCCATCGAACCTCTGCTGCCGTGTTTGCAACTGCACGATACTCAGCTTCCGTAGACGAGCGAGCCACACCTTTCTGTTTCTTAGATGTCCAAGATAACGGTTGAGTACCTAGGTAAACGATATACCCGTTGGTGGAGACATAATCGTCACTGTCTCCAGCCCAGTCAGCGTCGGAGAAAGCATGGAGAAGCGGCGCCGTCTGTTTGCGTAGAAGGATACCATGACTGAGAGTACCGGATAGGTAGCGCAAGACACGTTTAGCAGCGTTCCAGTGATCCAATGTCGGCCTGTGCATGAATTGAGACAAACGATTCACAGCGTAAGATACATCAGGCCGAGTTAGAGAAAGATATTGAAGACTGCCAACAATACTCCTATACTCTGAAGGATCGGACAAAGGAAGACCCGAGTTTAAGGTGAGCTTCGGAGAGGATGCAAGAGGCGTGGCAACAGGCTTAGCATGAAGCATATTCGTCTTGTGAAGTAAGTCAGTGACATATTTCCGTTGCATCATGTGTAGACCTTGTGGTGTGCGCAACGTTTCAACGCCAAGAAAATAGCTGAGGTTGCCCATGTCTTTGATGGAGAACTTGGCTGCAAGATTATCAATGACTTGCTGGACAAGCACTGCAGTTGTACCCGTAACAATGATATCGTCCACATATACGAGTAAGTAGACAAACTCGTGATTATGTCGGAGAATGAAGAGAGATGTATCAGCAAGTGAGTTCTGAAAACCAACACCAAGCAAGAATGTTTTTAATTCAGAATACCATGCTCGGGGGGCCTGTTTGAGTCCGTAGATTGCCTTGCGCAAACGGCAAACATGTGAGGGACGATCAGGGTCAGTGAACCCGGGTGGTTGACACATGAAAACTTCTTCATCAAGATGACCTTGGAGGAAGGCTGTATTGACATCTATTTGACGTAGTGGCCAGTCGTTGTTGACAGCAAGACTCAAGACCAAACGAATTGTAGTTGATTTAATAACCGGACTGAAGGTATCATTGTAGTCGATCCCCGGCTGTTGGTGAAACCCTTTAGCTACAATTCGGGCTTTGTAACGATCAATACTCCCATCTGGTTTATACTTTATAGTAAAGACCCATCTACAGCCCACAATGTTCATGGTGCGAGTAGCTTCTACTAGATCCCATGTGTGGTTTTCATTTGTAGAGTTGAACTCCTTACCCATAGCTTTGCGCCATTGTTCATGCTTGATAGCCTGTTGCCATGTTGATGGAATCCAATGTGGATCGGAGGAGAGTGCAGAAGTGAGATTATACTTTGACGTCGGCTTGACAATATTGTTCTTCGACCTAGTTGTCATGGGGTGTCGAGGCAGAGGGTGAACCACAGCTTGAGTCGAGTTTGTTGAAGATGTAACACCAGTGTCTTGAACAGGAGAGGTTGGTGGTTGTGACAAAACCGCAGTAGGTGCCGGCGGAGCATGTTGTTCTGCTGCTGGTGAAGAATCAGACGCGGGAGTCGGATTGATCGTAGCCGTCTGAGGAGAGTGTATGAGTGTAGGCCCTGGAACAATGGTATAAGGTTCTTGAGGGACGGTGGAGGGTTCGTAGGTGGGAATTGGTTTAGGTTTGGTAAGGGAGCGATATGGGAATTCGGTTTCATTGAAGCGAACATGTCTGGAGACATATATTCGTTCAGAAACCGGTTCTAAGCATAGATAGGCACTCTGGGTCAGAGAATATCCAATGAATACACAAGGAAGGGAACAAAGTTCAAGTTTATTTGGTGCATAAGGGCGTAGCCATGGATAGCACAAGCAACCAAAGGTTCGGAGTTTAAGGTAGTTAGGGGAGGTGTTGAAGAGTTTCTGAAATGGTGATTGGTTGAGGAGAACAGGAGTGGGCATTCTATTGATAAGGAACACTGATGTGGCAAAGGCTTGAGGCCAAAAGGTAAGAGGAAGGTTTGCAGCAGAGAGGAGGGATAGTCCGGTTTCTACCACATGACGATGTTTGCGTTCAGAGATGCCATTTAGCTCAGGAGTATGAGGCGGTGTAGTTAGGTGACTGATCCCATGAGCAGCAAGGAAGGGTCGCAAGGCTAGAAATTCGCCCCCATTATCAGAAAAGAGGGTTTGAATTTTGGTTTGAAATCTGGTCTCAACAAGTGGTTTGAAAGTGATGAAGATATCTTTGACTTGGGATTTGGCAGCTAAAGGGTAGAGCCAGGTATATCTGGTGAAATGATCAACAAGAACAAGGTAATATTTGTAGTTTTGAGAAGAAATAATTGGAGATTGCCATACATCTGAGAAAATATATTGGAGAGGTTTGGTGGATCGAATGGTATTTTGATGAAATGGAAGTTTGTGTGTTTTATTGAGTAGGCAATCATTGCAAGGAGAAGCACTTGAAGAGTGTTTAAAACAAGGTAAAGAAAACTGAGAGACAACAGAATTTAAAATAGTAGAAGAAGGGTGGCCAAGTCGCCTATGCCATTGGGTTAAGGTAGCTTTGGTATCGGGATAGGATGCATAGCTTGCGGAGGGGTTCAGAGACGTCCATGGCCACTCATACAACTCATTCCTCGCGCGGCCTTGAAGCAACCGGACCCCCGTGGAGAGATCCTTCACCTGAAAATGAGCAGGGAAAAATTCCACAGAAACATGATTAGTATTGCAAAGCCGGTGAACCGATATAAGATTCTTATGAACACTTGGAACACAGAGAATCTTATTAAGTGAAAGCGGCTTAGATTGTGTTGGAAAAAGAGTAGAACCAGTGTGAGTGATAGCAAGACCTGAGCCGTCGGCGATGGCAACCTCATCACCACCATTGTATGGATGATGTAGCGCTAAGTTGCTCAAATCAGAAGTCATGTGATGTGTAGCGCCACTGTCGAGAATCCACTGATTGGG